AACAATTTATCTAAAGTAGACAATGTGGATATAAAAAAAAAAAGAAAACGTATCTACTTTCATAATTTAATATAAAAAGCCTTGTTTTACCTATTAACAGATATACAGATTTTTTTGTTATGATTGTAAAAACAGTTTTATTTTGAGAGGAATATTTTTCAAGAATCATGATAGAATAAAGTGACTATCTTTGAAACCAAATGATAATTTGCATGCCTCTTATTTCAATCATAACAAACACATTTTTGGATAAGTATTTTTTTAATGAAGTTTATAATTACAAGTCGGAATGTTTGTTTAAAAGAAAATAAAAATAAATTTAAACAATTCCAAGAACTGTTTAGACTATTGTATCATTATTTTTGTTATATTTTAATTGATTTATTCTACAGCAAACTACAGACATACCATTTGTATGGAAAGATTGAGTGTTATCTTTTTTTTTCCTGGTAGTGCAAACAATGGTAACAAGCAGAAAAGAAATAATGACAAATATACTAATGATACCAACCATCCCACTTTATAACAAAGCCACGTTAGCAGATGATTGAATATTTTCTATATATGTGGATTGCAATCCAATCATTCTTTTTTATTTTTTACTAAGCACAGAAATTCACTTTGTCCTGACAAACATATATCGGCAAGACATAACATACATTTTTTCATTTTCTTACTCTGCATGATACTACTTATCAATTACTTAAACAGAAGCCTATAAAGTGGATTGTCCAAAATGTGGTGATAAAAAGAATAAATTCATTAATTTAAGCAACTCTTAAAATGATAATGATTCATCTCAAAATAACAGAATGTAGGATTACAGAGTAAGACAAGCCATCAAAAAGTGTATCATGTTGAAACACCAATTCTTGTAAGATCACCAAAAGTTAAGCAATGTCAAGCCTGGTTAGTACCTAGATGGGTGACCACTTGGGAATACTAGGTGCTGTAAGCTTGGATGTGCAGGTGGTGTAATGGATAATGGCTTGGAAATTGTTAATTCCAATTCCACTTCCAGTTGGGTTTGTTATATTCACTTATATGCAAATGCCTTGGGAAAGGTATGAATCAGTTGTTCCTTGCAGTTATGGGTTAACTAATAAATACTTATCTTTAAAATGGATTCTTTGAATTAGATCTTTTTCTGGCTAAAGAATTTTCAAAGGTTAATAAACCTTAGATAACAAATCAATCAATCAATATCTTGAGACAAGTTCAGTGACAGTCTGTTTTTTTTCAGATTAGAACTTGTGTTGAGTCAAAAACAGTTATATTCTTCACAAACATGGACCTTCAATCAAAATTGCCTAAAAAAGTCCTTAAATGCTGTCCAAAAAACATAACTGAATTTATTTGACATAGGTTTGTGTCTATCTAATTATTCAGATACTCACCTCTCAGTAATTTGATTATCTAAATTCATTACAATTTGCTCTCTCTCTCCCATGACTATGGCAGAAAATCTTTTATTTATAATTGGTTTATACTAAATATAAAAAAGAAAAAACTTTAAACTTTGTTCTTATAAAATGACCCCATATTTCAGACCAATTTTCCTTTGATATGCTATGTGGACATTTTTTTATTTTTTTTGGCATTATTAGAGCTTACATATTAAAGTAGTTCAATAGATTCTAGTTGTCATATCCTATAGATACATGTTATATACATGCTATTGATTTTCAAAATATATAAATAAAAAACATTCTTAGACTTAATTTCTCTCATTTAGAAGCTGATTCATTTTATTTCCAGTCTGTGATTTGAATTCTGTTGAGATTGGAAAAGACTTTAAAAAATTTGAATACTAACCATTATAAAATATCATCATAAATCTGATTTTTTAAAAAAAGACAATTAAATTCTAACATTTAAAAAAAATGATTTTTTATACTTTAACAAGTTGTCTCTTAAGCAAAATCACTATTGCATGCACTTTAGCTTTATAATAAATAACCTGACTGACTTTAACTCAAGAATATAGAAACAAAGGGCCCAGACAATTTAGTTTCAGAATAGCTCTTGAAAAATTTTTCAATTTTTTTGAATATTGTCCTATTATCTTTATTGCAAACAATCATTTGGGAATGCATTTTGTTACTATGTGAGAAAAATATCGTTGATTCTTTGTTTGGAGATAACTAATTCATCTCTAAATTATTTAAGTATTATTTCACTTTTACATGCAAAAATAAACTGATTAGTTTTTGCAAAAACTGTAAATATTTTAATGAATTTTTTAAATAAACAATGTAAAGTTCTTATTTTGGATTATTGACAAACCATTTAATTTTTATTCATTCTGGCTTTTATTTATATTTTATTTTGCTTTTCAAATTAACAGAATTTTTTATTCTCTAAAAAACCATTTCTTTTTAAATGAAATTCTTGTAAAAATTTAAGTTATAAAGAAATGACAAAAAAAATTATTTGCTTTTTTATTTTTATGATTAAATGTCAAAACCAAATAGATGTTTTTTTATTGTTATTAAATTGTTGAAAAAATGGACTTAAAATTAGAACATTCCATATAAATTTTCTTTTAACACAGTCTTTGGATTTTTTTTAACATTTCCAGTTTAAATAATTTTAGTTTTGTCAAAAATAATTCTTAAAATTACCAAATTAAAAAGTATTTTTTTGTAAATAAGAGATGCTGAATTTTTTCAAAAAATAAAGTCCTTTTATTTCTGACAAAAGTCTTTTCTATCCCAATGTCATTCTTTATGTAAACAATTCTTTTCACTTTGCAAATTTGGAATTTCTCTTTTTTTATTGTGTGCAACGACCTAATTTTTACTCTCCAAAATCAAATCATTTTATTTGTTTGGCATCCAAACTATTTTAAGATTCTCTCACATCCATAGCAACTCGTGCTTGATCTTCCAAAAAAAATTAGATTCATGTGTGCTTATTTGTCCAATAAAAAATATTTAAATATGCCTTTGAGTTTTCCTAACAAAAAAAAAATTCTTGCAATGATGCATCTTTTCTGGCTTTAAATAATCTGTCAAGCCATTAAAACTAAGTTCTTAAATTGCATTCATTAAAGGATTTTTGTGTTCTGCATACTTGCCTTTCCATTTGGTCACCACAATTTTTTTCCAAAACAAAATTGCTAACATATTCTTTATAAAATTTATAAAATCTGGTAATGTACGAAAGTAGCCATGTTTTAATTGTTTTATCAGATAATAAAATATGGACAACTAAATTGATGAAACTTTTTAATTTAATTTCCTGTTTTCATTTTTTTTTTTTTTTTTTTTTTGCTTCAAATTAAGTCTTTAAAAAATGAAATTAGCCATTTTGGATTTTAATAAAAACACTTTTTGAAACAAACCATTTTAAATTTTTTTCATGTCTTGATGAGTCAATAAAACAAAAAACTCAAATCTGTGATAAAGACTTAAATCTATTCAAAATTTATTTTAAGCAGAAAAATAATCTAAAAAAAAATTTACTTCAAAAAAATACATGTTACTACCAAAAAGTTTGTTACATATTTACAGGCAGTTAATTGAACGTTAACCTTTGTATTTTTTAAAATACACCATTATTTCTATTTTTACTTATTAAGACCCGATCTATATATTTTTAGAAAAAAAAAAAGAATTTATGATTAAAACCATTTGAAAGGGTATACGCTCAAAAAATATAAAATTTTTCAAAATCCATCAAACAACAGTTTGATTTGAATTTTGAAAATATAATGAAAAACTAGAAAAGTAAACAAATTGCACGCGTTAGACCATTAGGTTTAAAATATATGTTAGGTAAGATCTGATGTTTCATAAGTTCCGTTCTGTTTTTTGGGGAGATGGAAAATATCATTAGCGCGCAAGATGGCGAAATAGGAAATTTTTTTTTTTGTTTTTAAAAGGTCATTTGTCACTGTTGTTTTCATTTATTTTTAAGCAGTTTTTTAGATCAGAAATTAACCTTTAAAAAAGTGGAAAATATTAAGTAATTTAGAAATATTTTAATTTACGAATTCAGAGGGCAAAACAACAATGAAAATGTTTATATGATATTCTTTTCTTATCCAAACATTTCATATCCGACAATCTGGAATTTCTTCTTTCAAATTCTTAAATGCAACATAGTTGATAATCTTTGTTACAAATTTTATTTTTCTAAAATATTTTGGCGTATTTTTATAAAGGATTTGCAAGCCTACGAAAGTGGTGATTTTTTTATCTTTTTAAACATCATCGTTTTTAAAAAATAATTAATTGTAAAAATGTATTCTGGGATTATATCTACCTTAAAATTGTAAAAAATTGAAATGAGATACACACAATCACACACATGTTTTCAAAACATAATTCACCAGGTTTTTGCAGTCATACAATTTTCATTAAATTGTTTTGAACTATAATTCCTCAAGGATAAACGTGAACTAGAGTTGTTAACTTGTAATTTCGTTTGAAGATTTATTTGAATTTAAACAACTTTTTAGGAATTCTGTAATATTAAAAACATGATAGAAATCACCTGTTTTAATGGATTTTAGAAAAAAAAAAATGTTGCTGCAAATAAATAATATTAAACAGCAATCTACTCATTATCTTTATAAACGATATCAAAATTTAAATTTATTTTGGAAAATTTTAAAATTTTGTTTCTTCCATCTTCAATGCATTTCAAAAATTACTTTTCTTTTTTTAAAATTCAATAAAAATTTGTTTTATTTTTTCGTAAAAATATTCTTTGAGATAATTCTTTCCATTTTAACCGAATCTCATACATTGATCTAAAAGTGTAATGATGGGCTCACAGATGTCAATATGTGTTATAGGCATTGAGGACCTGAATGGAATAACAGGTGCAAATGACAAAATGAAATGGATTTTCCCCAATTCCAGTAAGGTGTTCGGATAAGGTAGATGATAAATATCTGTAGTTTGAAAAATGGAAAGGTTTGAACAAAGGCTTTCAGTTGGTAAATAAATTTTAAATCCCTAAAAAACATCTAATTTCCGTGTGTTTCTCATCTCAAAAAAAAAAAATGGTGCTAGGATAAGACAAACATTCACGGCATTCATTTATTTCAATCTATTTTTCTATTTGTTTGGACTTATTTTGTGTTTTTTTTTTTTTTATATTCAAATTTCCATTTTATATATTTTTTATATTTGATAGTGGGTTTCTTTATTATTTATTTTTTTGTATAGTTTTTTTTTTTTTTTTCAACGTTTTGAAATTATTACCATCCATTTCTATTTTTTAGTATCTATTTCATCTTTTATTCATTTTTTTCTTTTCAAAGGACTTTATGTGTTTTTTACGTTTTTATTTCTACATTTTCATCTTGTTTTATTTTCTGTTTTTTTTTATTTTAAAATTTTTATTTCGTATTTCTTTCATTCTAACTAATTTTTTTTTTTATTTAAAAAAACTTTTTTTTTAAATTTGGAACATTAAATAAAAAAAATTTCTTCTAGTTTTTTTTTATTATTGATGAATTCATTCTTAAAATAATATTTGATTTTTTAGAAATTAGAAGCAATTGACAAATATGCTGAATTTTGTATTTAAAACCGCCTTAGTTTGATTTATCAGTTGCCAAATTAAGTTAAACGAGAAAATTTATTAAATTAGTCATAATCATAATTTTCTAATTTTTTTTATTTATTTTATTTTTCTTTCGATATTTATAATTACAAAGAGAATTTTGAATATTCTAGTTCACATTTGGGAAAGCATTCCGAGAACTGTGATCACAAAAATTTCTATTTATTTTTTTTAAAATTTTCAAGTCTATCTCAGGGGTTCGACATTTTTTGATGGTCTTTATTTCGATAAATGTTTGGGTTATAAAATAAACGATGGAACACCTGGATAAATTAATTTTACAATTCAATTTATTTCCTGGACGTTCTTTCTTTAAACCTACCTGAGCAGATTTTGCATCGTTTAATTTACAAAGAAATTTTCTTTTTTAATTTTT